CGGAAAAGGGCGGACACCAGCAGTGACAGACCTGGGAGACAAATGAATAGAAATGCTGCATTGCCTGCGGAAAAGGACGGACACCAGCAGTGACAGACCTGGGAGACAAATGAATAGAAATATCCCCGTGGGAACTACAGGTAGGTGTTGGGCCTGGCATTTTATAGTCATAACCCACCCTTGGTGACCACAGTGCACCACTATAAAATGACTTCATAGGACAAGCCTACCCCACAGAAAATACTATAAAACCTGGGGCTCAGGGTGGGCCATCTAAGTGTACTTTTAAAGGGGGTCACAAAATGAAGGTCCTATAAAATGAAAAACATGACCTGACAATCTGGAGGTGCTGGCATGGCCCAGAAGCATAGAATCGGCCAAATCTCTGGCTGATTCTGATCAAAATCTTTACTCTTGGAGATTGTTGATGATTGTTGACAGATGTTCATTTCTTTGATTCATGAGGATTCATGAGGAAAGATTGGTTCTGCTTTCACTTTTCTGGTCTTCGTGGGCTAGCTTGCCACTACACGCAGCCAAAAATGCCCATGTTTTGCAGAAGCAACCAAGACACGCTCACATCATCTCACATCTCTATAAAATGAAAACACACACTCACACAAGCCAATGATGCCTCTATGAGTTGCATTCCCTACCAAACATCAAAGTCTATAAAATGAAAACATGGACATCTAAATAATGTTCACTATAAAATCATAACACTATAAAATCTAAAACCTGCCTTTGCCTGGTTCAAAACATGACCACCAAAAGTCACTATAAAATATAAACATGTTCCATAACTATGTTCAGAGCTCAAACATATCACTTATATGATCTTATATGTGTGTGTGCATGTTTTTCATTCTATAGCAAAATGTGGCCACTTGGGCCCCTATAAAATGACCCCTGGTCTTGGGGCTCGAGCTCCTCATTCTATAGGGTTTATTCCCAGGGGGATATAGAAATGCTACATGGCCAGTGGAAATGGGCGGACACCAGCAGTGACACAAAGGGCGGACACATCTTAAGAAAGAATTGAGAACCCCTAACAGTAAACTTTTTGGGGAAAAAGTGGAAGACAAATGCAAGGAAGGAGACAAGCCGGCCGGAAACCCGACTACAAGCACCCAGCCTGGGAGACAAATGAAAAGAAGTGGGAGACAAATAAAAAGGAAATGGGAGACAAATGCAAGGAAGTGGGAGACAAGCCAGCCGGGAACCGGACCAGAAGCACCCAGCCTGAGATACAAATGAAAAGAACTGGGAGACAATTGA